ACAATCTCGATACTCGACGACACTTTTGAACATTGTCAAAGAACACGAGTAAAATCGAGGTAGGGGGACAGGAAATGGCCGAGAACAGAGCCCGTACCGTTTTCTTTATCGAAGAAACGATATTTTCTTTTGGACCAACCTAATGCCCATAGTCATTCCTCGAGGTCGAAACTACGAGTAGTAGAGGAACCAAAGAAGAGGAGGATCTTTCGTTGAGAACGCGATAAGGCTTTCAACGCAAAAGCTCGTATATATCTGCTAACGAGCACCAACATACTTTCTCCCTTCCCTTTCTCTCTTCTTTCCCCTCTTTCTTCCATCTTCTTCATCTTACGCCCCCTTGAATATCACAATTTATGTTTCTACGAATTTGCGAGGATATCGGAAAGGCGATTTTTCAGTAGATGAGATAAGACACGTATAAACGATTTTTATTATAGGAAAAAATTACTCCAATATTAATCTAAACGTTAATAAATTATTTTGCTTAAATTAGACGAATTTTCCCATAAAAAATATGTTAACTATTAGGGCAATCGAAAAGTATTCAAAATTTTTCTTAGCTGGCGAAAAATATTTATTTAATAAGGAATTTGAAATGCTAATCAATAAAAAATTTGTTCATCAAAAAATTGTTCGTATTTATATTTAAATCATAACAATTTCTTGGGTTTCGTATCTTTTATTGCATATTTACTATTACCTTTCTTTTCTCTTACCTTTTTTTCTTACACAATTCTTTTTATTTAATTTTTTTTTGTTTTCTATGCACATGTTTTCGCTTACTGTTTTTCTTCAAGTATTATAACAACACTTTTAAACTTTTTACAATTTCTAGTTCGATATTTTTCATTTCTAATTTCTCTTCAAATGTAATATAAAATGTATAAATTACTATTATCTACATTGTGTAATATGTTGTCAGATATAATGAAACTTTTGTTGTTAAAAGTATATTATTATCTAACATACAAGCAGTTTACATTTAATTTAAAGTTAGATGAGAGTTATAGTTTGTAATATTAAATGTCACCAAAAGATGAGGCACCTATCTCCATAACCTTTCGAGAACTATGAACACATGAATGTGCATTCGGCAAAATTATTCACCATGAGCTAGAAACACATATATGGGTTCAGTTACTGCTCAAATTATTTCAATTACAATCAACATATATTACAATGAAATTTGAGAGATAGCCAATTCATCATGCGCGTAGTAGTCAAAAGTGAGAAGTCTGCAGCAAACGTTAAACATAAAACAACTCAGCACTCAAAGTTGTCAAAACTCTTAAAATAAGTTAAATAATCTCACAATGATAATATATTAAATAACAAAAGAATTCTCTAATGCTTTTCCCTTTCTCTCGTCCATCTAAAATTCTACATAACTTCGATTGACGAGGTCGTCTTTTAGTTGATCGATCGACATCCTCCAATATTTAGCACTCGACACGCTCACACATGCCTTTCCTCGATTCCTCAAATTCCTTGATATATTTAGATATGTTAGATCGAAGTACCTTAGAGTTATCTCTCCCACAACGAAGTATTCCCTAATAAAAGGATTGCGAGAATACTTATAATATTTAACATTATGTGCCGGTAATTATGATATTGACTTAAACCAATGAATTATACAAATTTATCTTACGATTTATTTTATATTAAAATTATTGATTTCATTTTTCATATTTTTGACATACAATTAGTCCACCGCCATAATTAACACATATACCGTATGAATAAATTTTAAATTCCATAGAAAAAAAAAAATGTATAAACGAATCTTCCTTGACTTCAAGGCTGATTGATTTAATCTCACGTTAATAATTTATTTGTACTTGAACGTGTAATGGATATACGAAAGTCAACCATATTTTTTTTTTAAATGCAATAACATATTTTTTTTTACGCGTTTTTACCTTTTTCATTTACATGCAGAATGAAAATAAAATAAAAACAAAAGAACAAAAAAAAAACGCGTAGCACGGAATTATACCAGTCTCGAAACCAACTTGGTTTCGTCGACGTCATTTTTTTCCATCACCAATCGCAATCTAGTTATTGATATGGCCTGTTTTAAATGTTTCATCCGGTATATATTGTTTGTAATTTGCTTTACCGGTAGTTTCTGTTGAGCAATGTCGTCGCATCGCACGTCGAGTGATGCAATATACATGCTAATATGATAGCTCATACTCGAGGACAGAAAGATGAAGACCTCTGGAAAATGTTCACCAATGGTGCATACGTGTACATGTGTTTGTGTGTGTGTGCGTGTATGTGTATGGATGTCTCTATCTATTTCTATCTCTATCTCTATCTCTCTCTCTCTCTCTCTCTCTCTCTCTTTATCTTTTACTTTCTGTTCTTGTTCATGGTCCAATTCGAATTGATCCCTTTTAGGATGAAGTTCGATGAAATTTCGACCAAAGTGAAAACGCAACATAAAAGTTCCCAAAAGACCTGATTTCCAAGAGACCACAAAACTCTCTTTTCCTTTTCTCTTTTTCTTTCTTTTTAGTTCTTTCTCTCTCTCTCTCTCTCTCTGATTCTGTTTCTCTCTATATATCATCCAAGTCCCTGATTCGCTATTATTCACTGATTAGTTTCTCCCTGTTCCACGTTTTCGAATAATCTCTTTGGTTCGATCGCCGTATTGGATCACAGACGAGTGAATACGAGTGTCGATAATACGACTATCGGCGCGAACTCGACCGTACAAATCGTCCTGATAAAAGCTTAGAGATGACAGAATTCCAAACAATTCCGGGCATGATCATTACAGCTTTTTTCGAAGCGTGAACGGAAAAAATAATCAAGCGTTTATATATAAAATAATGAGTGAAAAAGATAGAGAACAAATCAATTTTTCTTTTTTTTTTTTTTTTTTTTTAAACAAACACAATTATTTACGCGAGCGAGATTTTTAACTTTCAAATTTAAATGTAAATAGTATGTATCAAATATTTCATACAAGTATAACAAAATGATCATTAAAGTTGACTAATTTTGTAAAGAAATAAAAATACCATCTTTAAAAGACTTTATTGGTGCTCTTTTAAAAAAACAAAACTAAATATGACAATCGTGAATTGTTTGATAAATTAATGAAATTATTTAATGGATTTTAAATAAATTAATAAAATAATAATAATAATATTAATAAAAATATATGAATGATTGTTATTGAAAATGAATTAAAAATGAAATTTGCTTGAATTTGTAATTCATATTATTATCATATAATAACAAGCATATAAATGTTCTGTTAATGAATAGATTTTATTCCTCGATGATCATAAACTCTATTGAAAGATATCTATGATAGACAGAAAGCAAACTTTAGCAAGAAATAGATCCGATAGAATGAGAAACAACGTGTCGAGTTAGCAAAGTGACGTTTACTGCCATGTTTCACGCTAGAGTCGGACTAAACGTTCCGCGAGAAACCAAATGGAATGGGAAACATCGATTTAAACGTGAGCAACCGATCAGAAATCCATGATATCAACGACTGGTTTATACATCAATGGTGTTTACTCGCTAATTTGAAAGAGATGGAGAGAGGGAAAGATAAAGAGATTTATTTAATTTCAGTAAAAAATTGCCGTCAAAAAATAATCAATATTACATAAAAATGAATAAAAATATACTCTCGGCAGTATGTATTTTTAGAAAGATTAATAATAAAAATAATAATAAGTTAAACAAATGTATATAGTTAAGTTATTGATATAATAACAAAATAATATAATTATATATAATATTAATAATATATTAATATTAATATAATTATAATAAATAAAAATAAATAAATAAATGTAATTTTTATTGAAGTATCTCAATCAGATAAGATTTGTAAAATTAGTCAATAAATCGAATCTTGTGTGGACGAGTTGTGGTGGGCGGCTCGTTTCGTAGAAACTTTGGAGAATTCGCAGATAGAAGGACGAAGTACGTTCGGCGTTCACCTTAATAAAGGGACAAAATTCATTAGAGCTTACGTTTAATCGCTATTCGAAGGATCGATCGCGCGGTTATTCGGCATCCGGATAATGGAGCTTCCGTCGTATTCGGACCGAATTCCTACTGCGGCTTTAAACTCCCTACAGTCAGAGTTTCGAAGGTTTAGCTTAGCCATTTGGTGATCGCAATGTATTCAGAGAGCAACGAACCTATGAACTTGGAGTCCACGAAGTAAGCTCGAGCTATGAGATAAATACGAGTTTTGTTTCTGGATCCTGTTTCCTCTTTAGACTTACATACACTTCGGTCATTCTCCGTTTTACTACCACACTCCTATAGTCTACGTCTAAATTAAAAGCAATACACTCTTTTCTAAGCTTTTAGCGCGCTACTCTATTTACCAAAGGATGAACTAAATGAAAATGTTCAACTGCGCCCTTGTTATTTTTACCAAAACCATTACCCCCAATTATTTGGATTTTTTATCTCCAATCAAAGGGTTTACCTTTTATTTTTTCCATCAAAATTTTTAAGGGCTTCAATAAAAAATAAGTTAGTCATTTATTCGTTTCATTCGTTATACATGGTTTTATTTTTAAGCTGATTTATTATAGAAGATTAATGTAATTTTTACTTTCAACACAAGATACACAAGTACTAGCGAGAGATCATACAATACTGATAAACATGATATAATTAATAAGACGCGTTACGTAGAATTATTTGATCTTCTCTTTCTCTTTATTAATTTTCTTTTTTAAATCAAACAGATTTCCATACACACACACACACACACACACACAGATCTCGTTATTTTCCAAATCAATAATGATAACAGCTTTTAGTTAAGATTCAGTTCATTTTGTTCATTTTCTACATACGACTTATTACTGGGATATTAACAATGATACCTTTTTCTAAAACTAATTAATAAACAATAAATACATAAATATATCAATAAAGGGATCATACATAGGTGTAGATATATTTACAGATAATCGTGATATCAAATAATTGATAAAACTCACTGTAATCCCAGTAATCGGCAGCACCGGCCGTGGGCAGCACCGTACTCCATGCTTCTATGCGAAAACAGAAAAAGGGAAAGGAGGAAGGTAAAAAAACAGAACCATGCTTCGTTGAAAATATGAGATATGAAGATTTTAATGAAACTAATGTGTGTGTCTATGCGTGTATAGAAAACTAGATATGTACGTGCGTAAATGTTTGTTTGTTTGGCCTTAATCCATTCCTCGTCGTTTGAAAGACGACTTTAACAGAGTCATGAGATATGAAAGAAAAAAAAGTGAAAGAGAAAAATAGAAAGAGAGAAATACAGATATGTATATGCATAGCAAAGATAAAAACAATGTGATAAGCGAAAAAAATATCTCATGTTGCACGCATAAATACGAGAAATAGAGAGAGAGAGAGAGAGAGAGAGAGAAATACAATGACAAACAGACAGAAAGAGTGGGAAAAAATCGTATGCATTTACATAAGTATATAAATATTATACATAAATCTCATACAACCTGAAACATTTTTATATGCACTTTTTGTGTATCAGCTTTTACAACTGAAAGAAGAAACTTATTTCTATGAATATACAGTAAGTAACAGGAGTATTTCTATCCGTATTAACTGTAACATTTGAAATAATTAATATTCATTTTTACAAAGCTTTAATATATATTTTTATTAATAGAAATCCTATTTTATAGGATCATTTAACTTTCAAATTAATATACATTTGATTGTAGTAGAACATTTAATTGTTAAAGGAATATAATTTGATTTTAATGATAATAAAATTGACCTCACGAGAGTATTTGCATTTAATGTAAGTAAGATATAATAAAACTGCAATAATTATTTTTGTAAGTAATACTTGGTTAAACAAATTCCACTGAAGAACATTTTAAAGATTAATCGAAACATGTTACTGACAATGTATAGAAATGTTTAAATATTTCCATGGTTTATTTCACTTAGACGAGTTTAAAAACACTTCACCCCCTCGTGCTCTAAATACAATAAACTAAAGTATATATTTTAGATTAACCAAAACCTTTTGGGTATTCTAGAGATTAACCGGGCAATCTATACAATGCCCGCGCGTATTAGTACATTGACCGTAACTCATACATATATATATACAATGTGTATACAGAACCAGTGATACATGGATAGGTATATGAACCTATGTAAAGATATATGAGAAGTAGTATTCATATATAATCGTTTCCGAGAGACTTGGAATGATTTTCTCGGTAAGCTTTTCAAGGGAAACGATCGAGTTATCGCATATATGCGTTTCCCGTGAAAACAATAATCTCATATCGTGCAGGAAAACCGAGCAGCAACCAAGCTACAACCCTCTCGAGCGTAAAGCCAACTACAACCCTCCGTACATTTCTCACCGTACACTTTTTATGCTTTCTCTCCCTCCCTCCCTCCCTCCCTCTCTCACTCTCTCTCTCTCTCGTTCTTTTTATTTTTTTCTTTTGTTCTTTCTTTCTGTCTTTTTCTCATATAACTCGTAGGGATGGATTTTCACATGATTTTTTTCCCATCCGGACGCATCGTTAAGGAGTGTTAACAACGTTAACTGTGTTAGGAAGCTTGACTTTAAGTCAGTGAGAAAGAAATAGAGAAAGAGAAAAAGAATTTTATGCACACGCATATACATACACACGTATACAAATATATGTAGATATATACACGTTATGGTATACGTTTATTTCACGTGAAATGAAGAAAGAGGACAATAAAAACGTTGACGCGTTCATAGCCAGTACGAAATAACTACTCCAAGACAAAATTTATTCCTACCACCAACTTCCATATTCGTTTCAAATGGATAAACTCGAGTTCTCGTAATGAAAAATTAAATCCTAAGAATTGTTATCAAATTTTTTTCTTCTTCCCTTTTTTCTATTTTCTTTTTCTTTTTGTTTTTTTTTTTTTAAATTATCCCATTTCTTCGATTATTTCAACATTGATGCATTTCTTTTAAAATTCATAATAATTCTACTTGTTCATTATCTTTAATTCAACTTAAACTCGAATGTCAACAAATTTTAAAATGATTCAAACTGAAAATTATTTTTTCCATTTTTTTCAAAAATTGTCAAAAAATAAATGCAGAAAATATCCATATCACTAACTACTATTATTTATCACGTTACACTGACACATTTTGCTCTTCACATACAACGCAACACATGTTACATATATTATAACTTTCAACTTTCTTTTTTGAGTGACGAATAGCAAAATTGTTCGTGAAGTGAGTAGAAGGAAAAAGAAAAAAACAAGGAGAAGACGAAGAGGGTGGTTGGGGGTTGTTGATTGAAAAGTTTGGAAAGTTGCATATGTTGGTTGTAAGCAGGAAGGAGTAAAATGGGTCAGTGATGAACTCTCACAAGGGTGGTGGTAGTCAGCTGAAGCCAATGTTCAAATTCTACCACTGTTTCGTATCGTCCACTGACATATTCAAAATCTTTCTCGTGCTATTTCCCAACACTACTCACATAACCAAAAATAAAGATTATGAGACGTATTTAAGAAATCCTTTCTATCTTTTAAAAACTTATAATCAAATTTTTGTTTTAACTTTCATCGAACGTATATATAAATGAAATGTTCAATTTTCAGATCAATTATTTTGTTCAATGATCGAATATTTAAATGAATGTCATTACAAAATTTCCTGTTGTCTCATTATTTATTTGTTTAATTAATCTAAATTTGGATTAAAATAAATTAGTAATAAATAAAATATATTCATAGGACCATAAGACATTTAAGTATAGTCATTTTATGTAAATTTTAATTATTCACGGGCGTAATGAATTCTTATTTGAATTAATTCAAATATTAAAGTTAGTCATTGAAGGATATTGAACTTTTTTGGTAAATACGATTTAACAAAAGATTAAATAAAAAATATAAAAAACATAATTAAACCTATTAAAATAATTAGAATAGAATCGTAGAACGAGATTAAAACCAGCGTATGAAAGAAATTCAACTCTCACTTTCCTATTTTTACACGAGTCCAGTCATTCGCTCTATAGTCTCTACTTTTAGTAGCCTCGAGAAACGGCAATTAGTAATAAAAGGGTGAACGTGAAAGAACAAAAAAAAAACGTACGACCATGACGACGACGACGACGAAAACGACGACGACAATGACGACGACAACGACGACGAATCGGAGTTCATGGCGTCAATTGAACACATTTTTTTCGTTCGTGAGTAACGTGCGTGAGAAACATAGTCGTCTTCTTCCTTTTTCTACTGTGTGGAAAAAAGATGTAAGTGGAGGAAGGGTTGAAGGGTAAGAGGGTGGGAAGAAAGAAAGGAGTTAGGGAGCTTTGCACGAGCATACTCGAGGTCGACGTTAGCGAAACGTAGAAGGTATGCGAAAGGAAAGCTTTTATCCTTTATTCAACGTGCGTGTTTTACGAGCCATTCGCGACGCTCGTTAAAATGCCGGTTCTTGCCTTTTATTTGCGTTACGTTAGCACGGTTAACCCTTCTTTTTTCCCCGATCCTCTTTTTTTCTCTCTTTCTTTTTTCCTGTTTTTCTTTATCTCTCTCTCTCTCACTCTCTCTCTATTTTCTTTCTGTTTTTATTAACCCTCATTTTGTTCTTCATTCTTCAAAGGAAGTATTGATATTCAAAGGAAATTAATCGTGTCGTATTAAAACTCTTTGATGGTTGAAATAAAGTTTGTTTGTATGATACTAAACTCTTTACTCGATCGTGTATTGATTCTATTCGACCATACATGTTTTTTTGTTTATCAAGCTTTTTCAAATAATTCTTTGATCTCTTTTATAAGACAAATTATATGCTTCAGAGATTATGTATAATATTAAATATTATTATGTTTTTAAATATCTGTAAATTTTAAAATTATATGCATAACACATGAAAATATTGACATAATCGACCAGTAACACTTCACCCAAAGTTGCGGTTTACGTTAGATTATTTGTACAATTCGTATATGTCAGGGTTGTGTCATGGTACGAAACACTTCGAGTCTGAAGTATTTTTTAGATGAATATTAATATCGGGCCTCTATCCCCTCTAATAAAGTGGTAATAAAGATGCAAATACAATTATAATATAATTTATTAAAACGTTATTAGTGTGAATCCTTTTAATTGGCTGTTGACAATGTTAAAAATCATTATAAGACTACTATGCATGTATGATTCTGATCTAAACAAAAATGAACGTTACAAAAAGTACATATCTGTCAAAAATTTGTGTGCATTAATCTAGTTCCACATTGTTTTACTATAGCATTCAATTCTTTGTTGAATTTCTATGAGATCCTAACGGACTGATTATTCCCGACCGTAATAAATTTTACGTATCCTTTCACATCAGAGCTTCGTTTCCAGTACTTCTTCTCTTTTCTATCCACGTAGGTACCACATTCATCCTTTCTTTCTTTCTTTCATTCATTCATTCATTCATTCATTCTTTCTTTCTTTCTTTCTTTCTTTCTTTGTCTCTTCCAATCCGAAAGAGCTTCACCGCTATTCCTAGCTCTCGAAAGCGATTTATCACCTTCCACTATCCCTTTTCTCGCGTCCTTTTTATTCATCCTCTCGTTACCGATTCTCTAAGCTACCCATCTAGAACGATAATTAAAAAGTTCCTTCGTTCCTGGATTTTCTAACTCTTTTACCAAAGAGTACCTACGTCCAAGCAAGCGAGCAAGCAACCGCTTGCATTCCTCTCTCTAACACGTACATAATAGGATCTAAGCGATCCGCGAAAAATCTTCATGCTCGACTCACGTTCGAAAGTGGAACAAATCCTCTAATCGCTTACGATGTTCACCAAATGCCGCCATTTTTTGTTGCTTCCTTTTCTTTTTTGTTTTTTTTTCTTCTTTTGTATATAAACCAAACGGGCAAGCCATAACCATTACCGTGGTTTCTTCTCTTTTTTTTGTTCATTTCTCTTTTGCTTTGCATCATTCCCCTGCCCTCCTTCTCTCTTTCTCACTCTCTCTCTCTCTTTCTCTCTCTCGCACACACTCTTTCTCTCTTTTTTTTTTCCTTCAGTTTCGTAAAATTTTCATGAGAGACGAATGGGCCGACGGTTCTCGACGAGCTAACGAGCGCAACCACCACAACGACCAACTGACGCCAGGGAAAGGGAAATTTTCATATTTTTTCTATTCCCTTTTTTCCTTGATTTCTTTTTTCTCTCTCTCTCTCTCTCTCTCTTTCTCTCTTTTTTCTTTTTTTTCTTTTTTTCATTTTACATGTATAAGTAACGTAAGGGATTTACTTTAATTGCGATGCACTATGCGCGATAATGCTCACTATGGGCTACACCGCCGCGTATTTATATATTTGTGTGTATGCGTAGGTGTATGTATGCGCGTGTTTTTTATTTTTTTTAATGTGCAACATATCAACGTGCGCATATGGACACTCGCATGCACACACACACACACACATATTCACGCGATAACGTTACGTTCCTCTCGACAATTTCTTTCGTGAAAAACGCACGTCTCTCTTAGAAAAAACACAAGAAGAAATTAAAAAGTTCAAAAAAAAAAAAAAAAAAAACCAAACAATTCACGTGCTTCTTAACGTTTTGCCTTCTTTCCTTCAGGTTAAACGTAGTTACCAACGTCTTTTCTTTTTTTTTTTTTTGCATACTTACTTTCTTTTCGTTCATTTCCACACGTTCTCTCATTTTCAACTCTTATCCGCCAATTTACATTCCGTTTAAAGCAGTTTACCATTATTTTTTTCTAATGACACCGATGCAATACTAATGATAAATAATTATAAACTACTAATTATTATTATTATTATTGTTATTGTTGTTGTTATTATTTGTATTATTGTTATGAAGATCTAACATGGAATCGATAAAAGCAAAATCAAACGGTATAGAAACATGTCACGTTATACAAGTACGGACACACACACACACATATACGTATATTATTTGTGTTTAAATATATATAATGTAATATACCAGTATGGCAATCGAGAACGTCGAACTGTTAACGCACAAATATAAATTAACGAGCTACCGTGTGCGGTATTTATTCGATATAGTATAGAAAAAGCGCTTATAACGCAGAAATGAATCATGCGGGTTCTATATCCACCAATAATATAATTAAACTACCCTACTATATAAACACATATATACATATATGTTTATATATACAGAGTGCCTTAAAATACATGAGCATAATTTCAGGAAGTATCATTTTGAGTAAGTTCAAATAATTAAAAAATGATCATACAATCGTACCCTCGATGTGACATTGATTTCCAAATTGTATCTGTTTTTGTATTACATGCGTGGTTACATAATTTTTACAGAAACTGTTCGAAGTTTACACACATTTGGTTATTAATGTCGTTTGAAGATGTCGTTTGAATTAACCGATAAAGTAAAATATATAGTTGAAACAAGCAATCAGTAAAGTTATGTGATGAAGTATTGGAAGACAAAAATGATTATAACTCGAAAACAATGTCATATTACGAGGTATATGATTATATGAACTTGTTTTGCTTATTTTAGTATAGTAAAACCGCTCTCTTTGATATTACACATCGATATATTTTGAAAGAGCCTGTATGTACACGAGAATATATAGTAGAACATTTCTCGTTAATGTAGGAAAGTGTTATGCATAGTTCGTTACTCGCTATCGAGTAGAGAACGATGATCGATCTCTCTCACTTAGGAAACTACAACTCGTCGTGTTAAAAGATTAATATCTTCTTCACGTTGGTATCCTCTCGATGCGGTACACATACACACACACATATACATATATATATATATAGATACAGATAAAACCAAAACATAAACAAAACATGTGGAAAAGAAAAAGAAGAAGAGGGAAATGTTTCCTTGATATAAAATAAAAAAAAAATACAGTAAAGAAAAAAATGAAAAAGAACTCACCTTTTTCACAGTAAGCACCCTCGTAATCACCGGAACGGCATTCGCAGATGGGTCCGCTATCCGTTGAAATGCAGATTCCACCATGTTGACAAGGATCTCGCGTCTCGCATGCGTCCGTCGTGTTGCCTGTCATCGAGTTCCGTAAGCTCTGCAAATAAAAACGTTGCGAATTCGGGTCAGAAAGTCGATCGATATGACACACACACATACACAACTTGAATAGAAAGAGAAGATTAAAGTACATTTGTCAATAACGATAATTATGATAGTTGATTAGAAGAAGAAAAAATCGAAGGATTTATTTTTTCATTTATTTTCTAATAATATTTAAATAATCGTAGTAAACAAAAAATCCATTTTATGGTTTGTATTATAAATATTGTATTGTAATAATTATAGTTGTAAAAAATTGACTTTTTTTGAGTTTTACTATTAACAAAAATTAAATATATTTTTATTACGATCAGTTTTTGTTTTTTTTTTTTTTTTATTGTTAGGAATAAGGAACAGTAGTTCGTATTAAGTAAATGAAATTGTAATCGCAAAGTAACTTGACTTATAACATTTTTCTGTTCGATCATTGAAATTTATTGAAATGAGATAGATCTTAAGTATAAAAAAGTAATTAATTCTGGAGCGTCAAGGAATCACACAAATTAAATGTGAGAAAATAAAAATTCTATTTAATATCAACAAAAATCGAGGTCACGTTCGTTTTCTAAAATAACATTATATCAATTTGATTACGCGATATTGCAAATGACATTGAGAAAAAAATTCGATAATAGAAAAGAAGATTGCATTTGTACGATAACTTGTTAAGGAAATCATTTTTTATGTATGTAAAAGGAGTCTTCGTAAAAAGAAACATCCAAAGAATTCAAACGAAATATCAATTTCTATTCAATTAATCATTACGTAACTATTTTAACGCGTTATTGCAAATGACATTGAAAGAAATTCAATAATGCAAAAAGAAAACTACACTCGTTTGATATCTTGTTAAGAAAACCATTTTTTATGTAATAAGAATCTTCATCAAAATGAAAAATTCAAAGAATTTAAACGAAATATCAATTTCTATTCAATTAATCATTACATAACTATTTTAACGCGTTATTGCAAATGACATTGAAAGAAATTCGATAATACAATACAAAACGAAGATAACACTTGTTCAATAACTTGTTAAGAAATTTATATTTTTATCTAATAAGAATTTTTGTACAAAGGAAGATAAAAAAAAAAAGAAAGAAAGGAAAAAAAAAGAAAAGAAAAGAAAAGAAAGCAAAGTCAAAGAATGCAAACGAAATATCTATGTATATCTCTGTTGAATGAAAAAAGGAGAGGAGCAGCTTTAAGAACGATCACTAATGGGGAAATTCTCGTTGAGATGCCTTCTCGTTTCTCTCACGAAAGGATAATAAGACTCTCAAGCGTTTAAAGGGTAATCGAATCGAACAGAAGGGAGTTTCGCGTTTGCTAACGAGGAAGAGGTTCGAGGATTCTTTAAGATTTTTCTTGTCTATTTCCTTCTCTCTCTCTCTCTCTCTCTCTCTCTTTCTTCTTTTTTTACTTTTTCTTTTCTTTCCTCTTCTATTCTGTTCGATTCCTCTTCTTTAGGTATTTCTTTATGGGCCGGGACCAACATGTACAATGATAGGTCGACTACGATAATAGATCCTACTACCAATGTGGTTGACCCGGTAACCCAATACGTGAATCCCCCCACTATAGTGGGACTTTTCGTAAAAATGATGGAGAATACTCTCATTCTCTCTCTTTCTCTCTTCCTCATCCTTCCTTTTTCTTATTCTGTTTGAGAGAAAAAGTCTCGTTCTATCGCTTTGGCGGCTCGTATATAGGCCGTGCACGTTGCATTCGCGAAAAACGCTGGCCGATAGTTCGTCCCTTCTTGAGATTATATCTCGACGAATGAGAAAAATATAGAAAAAAGAGAGAGAGAGAGAGAGAGAGAGAAAGAGATACAGAGAACATGGTAGCATAGAAAATTAAAGAAAAGAAAGAGCAATTGCTTGTTTTAGGTACTTAATATTAATCATTGAAATATTCGTAAAAATGAAAAAATCAAAACATGGAATCACGAGAAACGAAAAAACATATATCATAAAATTAGAAAAAAAAATAAAAATATAGTTGGCATCCAAAATGTAGATAGAACGTTATGGAAGAAGACACTTCGCATGATGAAAGCTCAAGGGAATTGAGGCAAAGTTCGATCGTTGACCCTTCCAATTAATCTTCTTAGACGTAATTAGCCGAGCTACTGGGATCGCTTCGATTAAAAACGTTCTCTCTTGTTAGCTACAAAATCCACTTTCAGGTGGATTATATATAATAGATATTCGAGGAAAAAGAAGGGCTCGTTATGTGGAAAAAGCAACTCCCGTTTTTTTAATATTAACGCGCAATGCTTCGAAAAATGTACCTAACTCGATATTTTTAAGTTCGATAAATCGACCTACTTCGTTAAATTTCATCCAACAGTTTTTCCCCTCCTCTTCTTCTTCTTCCTTTTTAATAATCTTAACGAGTAAACGATTAAGACAAAAAAGAATGTAGTAGCCGAACAAACGACGAAAATAAGACTCGTATTATTAGGTGAAAAATAATTCATTCATTCATATATTGAGTGAGATGGTGTCCCTTAAAATCGTACACCGTTACGTTTACCAGATTTTTCCTTAAAAACTAAAAAATGGGATTGCGGTTTATTTTTTATCTTGAACTATCTTTTCTATGAAAATCTATACCTCTAGTATTTTTATAGCTCTACCGCAATAAACTGATCAACACGGTGAGGATTTGTTCGTTGCAACAAATTCCTCAACTTGTTCCGACATTTGACGGAACACAGACTGCGCGAGAACAATGGGCTTCTTTCTGTGGACAAGCTCTGTTTTTTATTTATAACAAATTCATTGCACATTGATAATTCCACTGTTACTTTGGTGACACTGTGCAACAAAAAAAATTTTTTTTTATATAAATAAAACTGATAGTTTTTGACATTCTGATACTGATGGAGAAAATGTGCAATCAATAATATTTTGATTCGATTCATCGAGATTTGCTTTAATTGTAAAACATATTCATATTTTACTTATCTATTTTTTGTCTTTTGTTTACAAACATTATCGAGATAACAACGTTTCATATTTTAATCTTTTTTTTTACATCTTTTGGTATCGTCGCTCGTGCTTACATACGTTCGATCGCGATGTTTTATTCACTCTTTCTTTGAATATTTAGTGTTTGCATTTTCCTTTCTCCCTTTCTCTCCCTTTTCTCTCTCTCTCTCTCTCTTTCTCTCTGACTGTTTTTTACTATCTCTCTCAAACTTGCAGCACATACCGTCCGAGCGTTTTCAACGATCGACCCTAATTCGTAAACGCGATAAGCACGAGCGTACTCGAGGACGTCACGCGTTATCTCTTCCATTTGAGCTTTACGAGAGTACGATTTTCTCTCTCTCTCTCTCTCTCTCTCTCTCTCTCTCTCTGTTCCCTCTCTCTATGTCTCTATCCATCCTTCTCTCTTTAAATAGTCGCAGTAAAGCAATCCCAATGAAATATTATTAACGAACTCGCACGATACATCGATGATTAGTGATCCATATTGGTCAAGCTGGAATGACTAAATTATTTTAACAACGATAAAATCTATTTCATTAGAATTTATGTATGCATAAAAATAAAATAATAAAAATAGGAAATGAGAGATAGAAAATTTTCTTTCACTTTTGCAAATATATTAAAAATATTTTATATTAATTTTCATATTTAAATAATTCCCTCAGATGCAATCTCGTAACAACAAATTATTTCAAAGAGTTAAATATGATGATAACAAAATTGTTTATTCACGTGATTATCTTTTTTTGAACTAGAAACATTAAAATATATTTTACGTTTAAATGTATAAAATGTTTTTTCTTTCATTACTTATTAAAAAGATCATTTAAAGTATTTACTATATAATTTCTTTTTACTATATTACTACACGTGTATACACGTGTATATCAGAAAGGTATTTATGATGTCATTAGATATGTGGATATTTTCGTTAGAAAGCAAAACAGGAGGGTAAACGAGCTACCAAATTCTCCGTCCAGGTTTGTATCGAAAATGTAATTTGCCTTGGCACGGGCCAGACATTAATTAGTCTTTCTCGTGGAAAATCTCATTAACAATTCGCCTGGTTGGTATCCAGTGTTGTTCGTATAAAAGTATGATTAATGTGGTGTCAGTGGTCACCACGGGCACAGAACGTTTCCATGCACGACTCAACAGGATTCTTCTTGCTTTTCTACAAACGAGAAATAAGACTGTGTTACAGAACTCGTTTATACGCTTTGTTAATAGTACAGTATAGGAATAGAAGCAAAAAAAAAAAGAGAGAGAGAGAGAGAGAGAGAGAGAGAGATAGAGAGAGAAAGCTTTTGAATATACGCGGTATACCATTTAGATTGGAAAATCTAAATATTTATTTTTTGTTTCTTTTTTCTTTTGATATTGATTGCCTCGAAAAAAAACAAATGTTAACTTTTTGTTTTCGGATGTTATAAACGTTTTATTTTTGAGATATCAAAGTTTCGAAAAAAGGATTTCGTACATCAAACGATATATTTTCGTTATCGTAGTATGATAGCTCAATGATAACAAACAAGAAAGTAATAAAAATGAATTCAATCGATATCATCTATTTTTAACTGCAAGGGAGAAAAACATGCAAAATTTGTACACGTTTTAAGTCAAATAACGTAATTTTGGGACGATCACAATCGTCGTCGATACTTTTACAAATTATATTAAATGTTTATTCAAATATTTGATTTATTTTTTTCAAAAATATTTCTATTGTTTAAATATCGAATATTAAATAAAAACTCGAGCATAACTCGTTCATCAATCAAGCAATAATATGACCACATTTGTTGTCCCTTCGAATACATTTTTGTTCAGATTCCATAGTTTTAGGGTTGATATTTCTAATTCTTTATAAATAAAAGTCTTTATGTGTGCATAATTTATTCTTGTGATACTATCTTAACTTGTAATGTATTTTTGAAACGATTCTTTCTCTACCGAATATTATTTATTGACGTTTTATTTCATTTTAGAGGTA